AAGACAGAAAAAAGAAAGAAAATGAACATCAGGAAATTGTCTATAAACCAAACTGAACGATTGTTGTTCTCTACTTAAAACACAACTTAGATTTTAAAATGGAAAAACTTTACATTTTTTATATATATTTTTATTTAATAAGTCAATGTATAACATGGCTGCATAAAAACCTCATTTTATTTCAGTGTTTAATTCTGTTTAAAGTATCAGATTATAATTAAAAACGTCTGAGGACCTTAAGTGGTTGATCATTTCATTTATTTGGACCCGGGTGATTTTTAATTGGTTACCTCTGGTCTAAATAATTGGTCCTCCTAACTGCACTTGGGTTTTTTTTCTCTAATTTTAAATGTAGATATCTTATTCTTTTCACAGATTCTCTTATTTACTCAAAAAACAATTGAAAAAATCCACTAATCACAAGAAAATCTGTGTTTATAATGTTTCCGTTTATGAAATGTACAAAAAAACTGAAACCTGATTTAATAATCAGGCGTTTGATTAAAAACAGCATAAAGAAGAAAACACATGTTCCCTCGCTGTAAAGGCTGAGCTGTTTAGCATGGGATGTACAGTAGGAAGATGATTTAGTGGGCAGGATGCTAAGACACGGTTACCGTGGTAACAAGGAGTCGGTATTGCCTCTTCAGGCAGTGCTTTGCTCCTTTAGGCCAATCGTTTACCAAAGTCTGACATTCAGAGTAGGTTTGATCCATCTTCTCCTCAGGAAGTCCCTCTTTACTCCTGGGGGGTCGTCTGCAGGCAGTAGCTGCTTCCACATCCAGGTTGGAGTCGCTCGGACTCCGCCATTCCTGTCCTCGTCTGACTTCAGGTTCAGACATGAGGAAAGAACAGCAGAGCTCTGATCACAACACTCCCCTATTCTTCCCTAAATATGAACGATAAAAACCAAGACGGTTGTATCAGCCCTCCCATTCTTATGTAAATGTTGGCATTAGGTGAGTCCACGGCTGTTTCCGTGGCGTCGTGCTGCAGCGGCTCTAACAGCAGGCTGCGGTTGCTGCTAGAGGAGTGGGCTGAGAGTGACAAGTGGCAGCTACTGAGCAACGCAGACTGGAAAGCTGCCTCATTTGGACTAAAATGGTGGAAACATTATTGCTTTGACATGAAATGAGCCGGAGAAAGAAAAGCAGATCTCAGTTTAAGTTCATCCTCCTCATGGTTGGAGCTGAAATTAGAGGTTATTTAAAGTCTGGATGCTGAAAC